ACACACACACACACACACACGTGTACACACACACACACACACATACACACACACATACACACACACACACAAATATGTAACATTCTGTGGGCTTTTCTGGAAAATTCTGACACACACGCATGTACACACATGTAACCTGCTGTGGGCTTTTGGGGAAAACTCGTTAATTAACTACTTCTGGGGCTTTCCGTTGTGGGAAATTTGTCACCCTGACTGAGTATGGTGTGTGGTGGTACTGTGGGAAATTTGTCACCCTGATTGAGTATGGTGTGTGGTGGTACTGTGGGGAATTTGTCACCCTGATTGAGTATGGTGTATGGTGGTACTGTGGGGAATTTGTCACCCTGATTGAGTATGGTGTATCTTGTTACTCTTTCCACCAGCTGAAGTCTTCAACTATGACAGAGTCTATCTCTGTACTCAGTACCTCATTCAGTCCTTCGCATTTTGAATTGTGTAGTAGCCTAGGTTTGTACTCATTGCCCGATGTAAACCTTTTCGATATTCGCGCTAAAATGATGCATAAAATGACACTTTCATCAGTGGAAAATTTCCTCTTTGAAACCAGCGTGCCTGTTTCATCATTATATGTTTAGGATTTTTCTATGCACCTTGCAGTTAACTTTGGTAAAGAAGACTGGAACAAATTTCAATATTAAGATTTTAAACTGATAATTTTAGATTCGGCATTATTTTTTTTCTGCCCCCCAAAAAGTAAGACTAATCGGAACTTTTTATTTTCCATGACTATTTAATGTCTTGCATGCTGTTCTGGCTATAATTTTGTAAATCATATTTTTTTCAGAAAAAAAAAAAGTAAAGACATCTTTTTCTCCGGAAACAAAACCATTCCAAATCTTGTTGAACAAATGAACAATTTAAGAAATAGAAGAAATGATGGTTAGTGTGGCCCTGGTCTTGTTATCATCTTTATTGTTCCCACTCTACAGACACTATGCCTCCGCATTTAGCAGCTTTCTCTCTACATCTTTGTGACACATCGTCTTTTATACAAAGGTTATCAAGTGATATTTTTGTGATGTGTACCTTGTATGCCTAACTCAAATGTGTTGACAGATGGTCAGCTGGTTAGACTGCTGGACTTTGTAGTTTTTAGTTCACCAAAGAGGCAAAAAGGTGAATGTGTAGTGAGATTTTTTAAGTCCACCATATAGGCAAAAGGTGAATGTGTTGAGAGCCTTTTTAGTTCACTATGTAAGCTAAAGGTGAATGTGTAGTAAGACTTTTTAGTTCACCATATAGGCTAAAGGTAAATGTGAAGTGAGACTTTTTAGTTCACATATAGGCTAAAGGTAAATGTGAAGTGAGACTTTTTAGTTCACATATAGGCAAAAGGTGAATGTGTTGTAAGACTTGTTAGCTCACCATATATGCAAAAGTATGTAAATGTAAAAAGTAAATGTGTAATGAGATGTTTCAGTTCACTGAGTAAATGTAAAAGGTAAATGTGTGGTGATTTCAGTTCACTGAGTAAATGTAAAAGGTAAATGTGTGGTGAGACGTTTCAGTTCACTGAGTAAATGTAAAAGGTAAATGTGTAGTGAAACGTTTCAGTTCACTGAGTAAATGTAAAAAGGTAGATGTGTGGTGAAACGTTTCAGTTCACTGAGTAAATGTAAAAAGGTAGATGTGTGGTGAGACGTTTCAGTTCACTGAGTAAATGTAAAAAGGTAGATGTGTGGTGAGACATTTCAGTTCACTGAGTAAATGTAAAAAGGTAGATGTGTAGAGAGACTTTTCAGTTTGCCTTGTAAATGTAAAAGGTAAATGTGTAGTAAGATTTTTCAGTTCACCGTGCAATTGTAAGAAGGTAGATGTGTAGTCAGATTGGCTGTAAATGTGGACTATAATGGCTGCCCTCTACCCCCCCCTTGCTTTGGTGCTTCTCTATAATCTAACCACGCCCACTGGGAGCACAGGTTGAAGCCGAGCAGGTTGGTCCACGTGGAAACTTTTCTTTCCTCGAATTTTTCCCCCCCCCCCTCTTTTCCTTTTTTTTTTGCCTTTTATTTTAATTGGCAGAAGCACGTGCGTACATTGCAGACCTAACTGTAAATACATATGTCATTCCTAGTTTTCAATCTTTGCTGATGTTTATGTTGCTGATGTCTGCATGATTACTGTCAGTAAGACGTTATGCACTTGTTCATTTAATGTGCAGAGGTGCCCATTTTCAGAAAATCAGAGTTTCTGAAATTGTCAGAATTTTCTAATATGCTCCTGCTTATATATATCTTATTTATAGTTTTACCTTCTTGTGCATGCCACATTGCACTTTATGTAAATGTAGTCTTGAGACAAAAACAGCACCTGGACATTGATGGCTGTTGCCTCTGTAAATAAATTGTTGATGGTGGAAACTTGAGACAAGATGTAGAAAATACATTGTGAACTGTAAGTTCTGAGTCCCAGCGCATATATTTCCATGTTGTTGTTATCGATCCAGAATATATTTCCATGAGGTCCTGTAAGTTCCAGATTTTTTTCTTATAGCCAGTTGGCACCTCTGAGTCTGTAGTTAGCGTAGTCTCTTTTCTACCTACGGTGTTATTATATAGAGTGCTGACTGGTGAGTTGTCGCAGCTCTTACAAGTTTCTTTTTTGAAAATTTATTGTTGTTTGAGATGCCTTTTTTTTTTTAAATTGCAAGATTCATCTCTGTCTCACTAAGAAATGACTTTGTTGTTTGTGTGCTGTGTGTGTTCAGTTCCATCCAACACTTGGCCTTTTTCTCTACTGCACTTTAAAAAAAATAGATGTGTCCAGTTCTGTCCCCCTTCCTTATCTGCGGTGAATGCCATCAGTTGAGTCGGTGCCTTGCTGTGCCATGGTTCATGTGACCGTGGTTCAAATCCTTGATGAGGCGTTCCTGAACTTGGATTGTTAAGGAAGTTCTTCGTGTCTCTCCACCTCCATGACTTGGGCTTGTCCTTTCTTTTCTATGTGGGTGGTTAGCGGGTGCTCTTGTGTTGTTTGCTCTTTCTTTCCTATAAAAAAATATATTGTCCTGGTCTCTCCTTTTTTAAAATGTTTGTTACTCTCCTGTAGCACCTCTAATCTCCGGCACTTATATGACCTTATTGTGCTGCAAGTGCCGTAAAACTCTTACTAATACTAAACTATCTTTTCTGTAACCTTATTGTGTTCTGAGGGATGTTGAACCAAGAACGGGCGTTCTAAAAGTGTGCTGGACCTAACGATGCTCAATGTCACAATCAGATCAGATTTATTGTTCTCTCAGTTTGTCGTTATAATAAATACACAAAACTTTTTCTTGGAATCTTTTTCACGACGTTACTGCTTTCACCGTTTTTCTTGACTTTTTAAAATTTTGATCAGCTTGTTACGTCATGAGGTAGAAATGTGATGTGGTAACAGAACGTGTTGATCAAGAAAACATCTGTGGTTTTGATGCCACAGTCGCTGTGACCATTGTAGGGGGTCAAATGTGGCTGGGGAAGTGGACGAACCTGACATGGGGGGAGGGGGGTTGGGGAAAACCCATCTTTATCGTGGTTCATTCTGGTTGTTTTTTTATTGTCACAACATTGTGTCAAAGAGTATGACATCTCCACTGGCGTCTGTTGTGCATCAGCTGGGTGCTTCACCGGTGCGCACAGGAGACCTGACGTCGACTCCCAAGTGAGGAGAATTTTTATCAAATATCTCAGTCTTTTTGCTGGGATGTTGTATCCCTCTCAGCCCGGGTCTGTCTGCTGGGATGTTGTATCCCTCTCAGCCTAGATTGGCCCTGACAGGCAGGGTTGAAGCCAGCCTCCTGGGTTGATGGGGTGTGTGAGCACCTACATTCCAAAACAGCTGTAAAGAAATGTTATGTAGCGAGTTCACAGATAGGCGTATTTTTCATATCATTGTTAGATGGAGGTTGAAGAAGTCGTGTCTCAGAAACACATAATTTGTAGACATGGCTTCTCCATGTCTACTTTGAACCTTATTAAATAATTGTTTGTCATTGCTTTTCTTTTCTTTTTCATTTTCTTTTCTTTTTGAAATGTCTTTTAAGATTTTTTTGTTAAATGTTTGCTTTTTTCGTTCTGGTGCTCATAAGAGAAAAGAACTATAGGGGACATCTCTGTTTTAATGAGTGATATTTCTGTCTTTGTGTGATTTTGTGTCAGTCGCTTTGATTGCTTTTTGGTTCCCCATCAACTCTACGTCTCAGTCCATCAGTGTGATAGCCTGTCTTTGATTGGAACAGCGTCATCCCTGATTGGGTGTCAGTTTTCAGGGAATTGTTGACTCGTAATCTTTATTTCGGTCTGGATGAAAAGACCCATTTCTCAGTCTCTGATATCTTGGTGAACGTTTGCTGTTGTATTAGCTGGGACCGGTGTCTGTGGTTATGCTCTTGGCCATCACCTCCAGTAGACTTGAGTTTGATTCCAGTGCGGAGGAAATATGTATCGAGTATGTTGTTGGCATGTTTTATCTTTCTCCTTGTTGAATAAAAGTGTTCCAAAGAATACAGCTGGTTGAAATCTTTTACCAGTAGATGACTTCGCACGAACTAAAGATTAGTTTACAAAATAATGTTAACACACGTCAGCAGTAAGAATATGTTGGTTCATGTGATCCTCTGTTGACTAGCATGGACTGGGTTGTTGTTGTTGTCGTTGTTGTTGTTATCTATCCAACAACAGCTGGGCTCTCGCCTTTCTGTCCAATGCCATGTAGTGATAAGTGCAGGTTTGCTGCAGTTGCTGTAATGTTCCATAGAGTGTGTTGTCAATGTTAGGTCTCGGAGGGAGAAGGGTAGCTCTGATGTCATTTAGGGCTGTTCAGTGGAACAGGTGATGCTCCAGTCTCATATGCATAGTCACACAAGGGACACATTGGGGGAAGTTCTGGTTTTATTCTATTCAGGTGGAAGTTGAGCTGTATATGTTCTGTTCGTAGACGGAAGTTGAGCTGTATATGTTCTGTTCAGGTGGAAGTTGAGCTGTATATGTTCTGTTCAGGTGGAAGTTGAGCTGTATATGTTCAGTTGGTAGGAGCTTGGACAGAGCAAACCTAAGAACAGCCGTGGCCAATCACGTGTGGAGAACTAGCAGTTAGAATCTGGTTCCCTGTTCATCTTTTATGAGCAAATAATTCCGGTTGACTTGTTTTAGTCTTCTTTAAATATAAGCCACCATCCCCTTTTTTGTGCTCCACTCCATTTCTTTTCTTCCTTCATGATTTATCTTTTTGTTTTGCCACACACTTTGACCATGCTGTTTTGTCTTATATTTATTCATTTCAGTAAATCAAACTTTAGTGCTACCTTCCTGTTTTAAAATGACTGAATCGGAAATTTTGCTCCAGTCAATTTTCAGCAGACTCCGATTTTGTAATTCTCCAGTCTTTGATTTTAAAAAGTTGAAATTTTAAAATAAGTATATGCCAACAATAACACTGGCGTTCTGTGAATTACGAGATGGAGGCGACATTGAAACGAAAATAGCTAAATCTTCTTATACGGAAAAATAGCTCCTATGTTATAGGTTTTTTTTTTCAGCCACAAGTGTTGAGAGGTGTTCCTCATGTACTTCAAAGTTAGTTTTTATAGCACTGTGCATAGATTTACAAGCTAATGATTTTTGGTAAAAATTTAGTTATCTTCCCCTTTTAAGTCTTAAGATTGCTATAATTGTAATGTCATATTTATCTGCATATATTCTTAAATTGATAGTTCCACGTTCCTGAAGAGACCTATCAGTCTCATTTGATAGGTGATTTACTTACTTTTAACTACACGTTTTTTTTGTTTCTTTGTTTCTTGTCTCTGTATCTATGTGGGTAGACCTGACGTCCTGTATGCTTGTCTCCCCTCCCGCACAGGTGGACGTCTTTGTTTTTTGGTGACCATGACAGCCGGTCATCTACTGGCTCCCAGGAGTCGCTGGACACAGCCGTGGCGTCGCAGGACAAGGTGGGTGGTCACAGATCGGTGGTCAGAGATGGGCTTATGTTCTGTCTGGCATTATTGCTTGGTGTGTGTGTGTGTGTGTGTGTGTGTGTGTGTGTGTGTGTGTGTGTGTGTGTGTGTGTGTGTGTGTGTATTTACCATGCCACAGCAAATTTCTTTTTCTGGAGAGCGATAAATTGTTATATTATCTTTGTTCTCTTTTTGTGTGTTTTTTTGTCTGTCTGTTCATCTTGCTCTTTTTCTCCCAGTACGTCAATGTTCTTTTGTCAGTGTTCTTTTCTTTACCCACAGTAAACGGAAACTAATTTTTGTATGTCACTCGGTACCCCCCCCCAGGGCAGTGCTACTTTCTGGCATTGTCTTTAGGACGTTCCCAAAGGGGGGAATATCATGTTTTTATGCACAGTAGAATTGTAAATGGGCTGATTTATCAATGTCATGCTCATACTGTGCCGGAACAACATAAGGGGAACTGCTGCTTCGTTTTCTTTCCTCATCCTTTTGTGAACTGCTATTTCCGGGGTGCCTTGATAGTCGAAGCAGACTTTGTGCTGTTGAGCCTAGAGAGGTGAGCAGAGTAAGCCTGATTCCCCGTTTGGACTTCTCTGCTGACATCCACCCCTTGGCGCCCATATAACCTTATGCAGTTGGGAGCGCCGTAAAACGTTACTAAAACTAATCTAAACTTGTGTGTCACTCAGCACATTCAAGTTTTCCTGATAGACAACGTCTCCGTTTACAGACTTATGAAACATGGATGGATTTTTTCTGGCTAGTTTTGAGACAGGGTGTGTTTTGGACAAAGAAACTGTGGGGAAATAATAGCCTGTATGCCATGTCACATCCTGTTTTGTGGTTACTTGTGGTTGGACTTTTGACATTCAAAGATTGAGTCTGATCAAATTGTGCACGCTTTTGGGACATATTTATTCTGTTTGGGGGCTGAAATGTATACACATTTGGCTAGAAAGATTGTTTAGTCATCTTTATGACTGGTCTGTGTGGAGATAGTTTGAAACTTGATTTGTGGGTGGTTAGCGGGTGCTCTGGTGTGGTTTGCTTCTTCTTTCCTGTCAAACATCTATCGTCTTTATCTCCCCTTCTTCTTTTTTATGTTTGTTACTCGCTTGTAACATCTCTAATCTTCTGGCGCTCATATGACCTTATGCAGTTGCGAGCGCCATAAAACTTCTACTAAAACTAAATCTAAAACTTGATTTTAAGGAATAGTTTTCTCTACATATAAAAAAGACCGTTCTGTTGAAACTTTTAAAGAATTGGATAGATCTCTGCTCTGTATATACAAGTGTCTATCGCGTAAAAGTCTTTTTCTTTCAATGACAGTAGAAGCCTGACTACACAATCTTCTCAGGATCAGAGAATTTTTTGTGTGCACAGAAGTAAGAGGGAAAAATATCGGGGAGCGGTAATCCTTTCATGGCAACAGCACTTTTCTTGTTAATTGGGTTCCTATTAAACAAAGTCTGCTGTTCATGTGTTTGGGTTGGAGTTATACAAGGGGTTATACTTGTATGCTTTCTTTCCCCCCCAGGGTATCTTCTCGTGGATTGTTGCATTCTGGAAACTCAGGTAAGTTGTGATGTTTTGTCATCTTTTCCTTGCTGTGGTAGCGTGACGGATCCTGTTTCTTTTCTGTCTCTCTGGTGTTTCTGTCTGTCTGTCTGTCTCACTTTTTTCCATATGCTGTTGCGAGCGCCGTAAAACCCCATACTAAACAAAACTAACTCTTTTCCAGCGTCAAATGACGACTATTGTGTTGATATGCTCGTCTCTACTAAAACAAACAAACAAACACACAAACAAACAAAGAATCAAACAACCTAACTATAACAACCTTCCTGGTGGGTGGTTGGCGGGTGCTCTGGTGTGGTTTGCTCCTTCTTTCCGATCAAACATATATTGTCCTTATCTCTCCTTTTTTGTGTTTGTTACTCTCTTGCAACACCTCTAATCTTCAGCACTTTTATGGCCATATTGTGTTACAAGTGCCGTAAAACTCAAACTAAAACTAACTATAACAACGTTCCCCAGAGATGTGGACATCCTGCACAAGTGTGGAAAAGACGCCCTCCAGTACCTGTCTTTCCAGCGTTACCTCCTGGTCTACGTTGCCATAGTGACGGTACTCTCTATCGCGGTTGTCCTGCCCATCAACTTCAAGGGAGATCTCCGTGAGTTTTGAACAGGGTTATCAGTTCTGAATATTTCCTCCGAAGTAGGGAGACTTTGTGTCGAGTATCTCAGGTCTTTCTTTTGGGATGTTGTATCCCTCTCAGCCCGAGTTAGCCCAAACAGACAGTGTCAGAAGCCTGCCTCTCAAAATTGAATGTTCTAAATTGTGTCAATGGGGGGCGCTACAAACCTACATAATAATTGTTTAGATAGGTGAGGCGCCCTGACAAAATGAGTTCCTTCTCGCAATCCACCAATCGTTATATTGGCCAAAAATCGACACCAGGGTCAAATTTGTAGATTTTCTATTGATGCCATATTTTTAAAGTTTAAATAACATGCGGTTTGTTATTTCACACTTATAAATTGTAAAAACTTCACTTATTTGCCTTCGCTTATATAACCTATTGCAGTTGCGAGTGCCATAAAACCCTCTACTATAAAAACCCCCAACTTATTTGCGGGGTGTATCTATTTCCATGGGGTTTGAATCCGAGAAGTAATTCATTATGTCAGCACCCTTTACATATATATGTCCGTCTACACGTGGAAGGGCCTCCGAAGTGAAAGAGTCGACATAACAGGGTCTGTGAGTGGGGTCACTGTCCATGCTTTAGTTGTCAGTATTTGATCAGATATTTTGAGTGGGTGGTTGGCGGGTGCTCTAATGTGCTTTGCTTCTTCTTTCCTATCAAACATCTATCGTCTTTATCTCCCCTCCTTCTTTTTTGCGTTTGTTACTCTCTTGTAACACCTCTAATCTTTGGCCCTTATATGACCTTATTGTGTTGCAAGTGACGTAAAACACTTACTAAAACTAAAACGAAAGATGTTTTGAGGCAGGCTCCTTACTTGTATTGAACATTTCGTATTTTGAACACTTCTTATGATTATTCAGTTTCAGATGGTAACAACCTTTTTTTAAAATAATAATAATAATAATAATAATAATATATAACATTTATATAGGGCATTTCCAATAAAGTAGCTCAATGCGCTTTATGCTTTTTGTTCTGGTGATGAAGTTGTTAAATACATGTCTTGTGTTATCAAAGGGAGAGTCTTATGGGGCCAATGTGTGAATGATCGACTTAACCTGTTTGTAATACTCGAACTTCACCAACAATTTTATTTGTTCACTTTTTTCATTTTCTCTCTATTTTTGGAGAAAAAAAATTTAGGGAGGGGGAGGGGAGGAATGAAATGGAATCAAGTTATATCAAGATGATCATTCCTTTCATTTTTTCAGTGGGAACCGCTGTTGATTTTGGTCACACAACCATTGGCAACTTGCACCCTGAGTGAGTGGACTTGAATTTTTTTATTTGGATTTTCTGTATGTATCATTCTCGATAAGTTTAGTTCAGACTTTCTGTTTTAGCGTTACAAAGTTTAGAGTTTAGTATAGCTTCCTGAAGATGTAGCTGTCCACAGAGACTGACTTGAGGTAAAGCTTGACACTTTTTAACCCTATCCGTACGTCGTGTTTTACTTGTGCCACCACTTTCCCAAGAGGAAATTAACTCGAAGATCTCTTTGAAACTTTCAGTATTTGTCAAAAAATCATTTTGACAAACTGATGTGCAAAGCGTACGGATCGGATTGACGAGTACATTTCCTCTTTGGAAAGTGGTGGCACAGAGTTCCTCACGTCGTATGGATACGACACAACATACAGTTAGGGTTAAATAACAATTTCTATCGGTGAAAATTAACAAATTCACCCTTGTGTGGGGGGGTGTAACTCTCATGAAATTGAAGATGAATTTCACTTTATTTTCTATGTTCCATATTTTGTCCATCAAAGGAAATTGTCAATTCCTCCCAGCCTGACTCGGCCTAGTGACAGAAATATGCAATGTCTGACCCATGATAAGAGATATGTGCACGACTGTGTGACACAACCTGTACTTTTTCATTATGGAAACTTTATTTAAGATATGAATGTTTTGTACGATGTGATGTAGGCCAATGGCCTTAAACACTGAATAAACTTACTTACTTACTGTTGTGCCCCTCCAGTGACCCGGTGACCTCTCAATGTGTTGTGTGTTTATGACCCCCCAGTGACCTGATGACCTCTCAATGTGTTGTGTGTTGTGCCCCTCCAGTGACCTGATGACCTCTCAATGTGTTCTGTGTTATGACCCACCTGTGTTTGTACCACCCAGTGACCCCGTGCTGTGGGTACACGCTGTGATGTCAGTGCTGTACCTGGTGGCGGTGATCGCCGTGCTGCGACACTTTCACCTGAACCTGGACGTGGAGGAGGACGAGCAGGTGAGGACAGTGGGTGGTTGGTGGGTGGTCAGTGGGTGGTCAGTGGGTGGCGGTGATCGCCGTGCTGCGACACTTTCACCTGAACCTGGACGTGGAGGAGGACGAGCAGGTGAGGATAGTGGGTGGTTGGTGGGTGGTCAGTGGGTGGCGGTGATCGCCGTGCTGCGACACTTTCACCTGAACCTGGACGTGGAGGAGGACGAGCAGGTGAGGACAGTGGGTGGTTGGTGGGTGGTCAGTGGGTGGTTGGTGAGGACATCAGTGGACAGTGGTCAGTGGGTGGTTGGTGGGTGGTCGGTGGGTGGTGAGGACAGCGGTGGACTATGGTCAGTGGGTGGTTGGTGGGTGCTCTGGAGAGGACATCAGTGCACAGTGGGTGGTTGGTGGGTGCTCTGATGATGACATCAGTGCACAGTGGGTGGTTGGTGGGTGCTCTGGTGATGACATCAGTGGACAGTGAGTGGTTGGTGGGTGCTCTGGTGATGACATCAGTGCACAGTGGGTGGTTGGTGGGTGCTCTGGTGAGGACATCGGTGCACAGGGCTATGAAGTTAGAATATATCCTCCAGAGTGGGGGAACATTTTATCGCTCTCTCTCCTCCAATCTCCCGTATTTATATAATCTATTTGTCTTGTAAGTGCTGCAAAACTCACGTTGAAACGACTAAAACAAAACGAAACCACAAAACCTCTCTGTCTCTCTCTCCCCCGCAGGTGAGCAGAACACTGATGGTCTCCAACATTCCCAAGAGCAAATGTTTCCACAGCCCGATCCTGCAACACTTCCAGTGAGTCATCGCCCAAACTTTGTGTTAACGTAATGGCTTCTAGCAGTGCTTGTCAACATTGTTACAGCCAGTGCCCACTTTTGTAACCTTTAACTCATTCAGGACGTAGGTTTTGGACCAGTGATTTGTACAGGTGGTCATCTTGACCAGTGTGATTATATTATAGAAAAAACACAGGGAAGGTGTGATTTGTGCTAGTGAATGTCTTGACCAGTGTGATTATATTATAGAAAAAACACATGAGGGAAGGGGTGATTTGTGCTAGTGATTGTCTTGAACAGGCGGGTGGTATAGCAGGACCGGCTGTAGTTTTGAGAAAAGTGGATTTTGTCTTCATAATCATCATCATTCCAGTGCCAGATATGTGACAGACATCGACGATCCTGGTTTTCCATTCATTCCTTTGCTCGGATAATACTGTGGCGTTTTGTTCAAAACCAAAAGGAATAAAGCTCAATGTCGGTGAACTGACCATATCTTACTGTCTGTTAACTGACCATATCTCAGTGTCCGTTAACTGACCATATCTTAGTGTCCGTTAACTGACCATATCTCAGTGTCCGTTAACTGACCATATCTTACTGTCCGTTAACTGACCATATCTTAGTGTCCGTTAACTGACCATATCTTAGTGTCCGTTAACTGACCATATCTTAGTGTCCGTTAACTGACCATATCTTAGTGTCTGTTAACTGACCATATCTTAGTGTCTGTTAACTGACCATATCTTACTGTCTGTTAACTGACCATATCTTAGTGTCTGTTAACTGACCATATCTTACTGTCTGTTAATTGACCATATCTTACTGTCCGTTAACTGACCATATCTTACTGTCCGTTAACTGACCATATCTTAGTGTCTGTTAACTGACCATATCTTAGTGTCCGTTAACTGACCATTTGTTCGTCCCCAGAGAGGCGTACCCAGAGTCCACCGTGACCGACATCCAGTTTGCTTACAACATCACCGGCCTTGTGCTGCTTGACCGACACAGGTACTGTGTTGATACACTACACACTACACACCATTTATGTGTCAACACACTAAACAACATTTTTTGGCCTGTTTTTGCCTAGTAGGGCAGATGTTGACCTGTCTTACTGACCATAGGCAGAGTGGCACTGCTGCACATTTTGTGCTTTTGAGAACAATGAAAAACTTTTGATGTTTTCCCCATCTTAAGTTCTAAATGCTTCTTAGTAACAATGGTTGTATGAAAAGGTAGATGTTTCACTCTTCCATTGATACTGGGATTGACATAAGTCACTTTTGTAGCTATACCACTTTGAAAACTACCTTTTGGAATGTAGAAACATCATGCTGCATTTGACTCAAGAAAGATGTGGGCAAGACTGGTGTAATATACCCTTTACTACAAAAAAACCCTCAAATTTTGCCAGATCCATCACTCGATACCTCGGGATGGCAGTTCACTGCAAGTCCTTGCTGATCTTTTCAGTATTCTGAAGCAGCTCTGCTTTCTCTTTATGAGCACACGTTTATGAGTTTTTCTTTGACCAACAACTCCCGTGTTTCGTATAGCATCTGTATGTATGTGTATGTATGTGTGTGTGTTTGTTTGTGTGTTCCAGGAAACGCGCTGCAGAGGCCAAGCTGTACTGTGAGATGGATTACCGTAAGACCGGGGAGCGACCGATGATGAGGCCGGTGACCTGTGGACAGGTGTGCTGCTGCTGCTCACAGGTAAATGTTGGCGGAAATGTCTGAGACTGTCGCCCATTGTCGGTGGCATCAGCAGCCTAGTAGTTAGGCTACCTGACCATCTTCATGGGTGTGTCTCTATCTTCAAGCGTATTTACATCTACGTGTGTGTGTTTTTCTCTGTGCATGTGACTGTATCTCCGTGCATATTCACATATCTGTGAGTGTCTATATCTGTGTGTGTGTTTACATCTGTATGCATGTCTCTATGTCTGTGCGTGTTTACACAAATGTGTGGGGAGCTGCAAAAACCATTCACATGGGTCCAAATATGAAAATTGAGATTTCTACCTAATATTATTCTACAGCTTCCCCTGAGTATTTCGCTTTTTATGTGAGGGTTTTATCTATTATAGTTTCCGAGATATTGCAGTTTTTATCACGCAAGGCAGGGAAAATCCGAAAAGAGAAAAACGGCTTTAAAAGTTTGAGCAATGTTTTTGGCTGATATGAGCTCAACAAAAGGGACAAAACACAACATATACTAGTACAGTAACCACAACAACATACTCGTAGACAAAATGTAATAGGTTTTCTTACCTTTGTAGCTGGTGTTGATGTATTTATATCCACATTATTGATGTTTCATAGATTACTCCGTTTTGGCTCGGCGGCCGCGTCCCCGACCTCGACCTCGGATGGCTTTGCCTGGTCCTGCTACAGTTTTTGTCACTTTGGCTGGCACTTCATATTCACTGTCAGAGGAGTCACTGCCACTGTCTTCAGGTACTGCTGTTGGCTCTGGTGTTACAACATCCTGACAGTGAGGGGAAACGAACGGACGAATCTCTTTGAAGAGATATTGCTGGCGTTTGAGGCTGAGCCCAGGTGACGGTATTACTGGCGGCAGAACACCCGGCCCAGGGAGAGCTGCTTTCTGTAGGGCCTGGGCTGTTTCAGGGGCATTGCTGTGTTTTTTCACTGTGATGACTCCTGAGTTGTCGAAAGAAAAATGTTGAAGGGTTTTTATTCCTTTCACCTTACTAAAATACTTTGAAAGAAAAGTCGTCCAGTCATAGGTGGGAAGTTGAGATACTCCATTTTCTGTACCCACTAGAATGGCCTTGTTCATAGCAGCCGAAGCATCTACAACTTTGACTAGATCTTGCAAACAATCAACCTTTGTTACCTTTAATTTTCTTTTTATGAGGCCAAATCCACCGTCTGGGCTAAACTTTGTATGACCCGCAATCAGAAAGCTTAGGCAAATATTCCTATTTCGAGCGGTGCCACATCGCCACATGAGGTACCAAATCATAACAGAATTTTTGTTTTGTCCGGCACAATTGTCTGCGTGCAAAAGAAGTTCTGTCTCACCAAGGCTGAAGTTTTCTAGATAGAAATGAAGATAAGACACAACTGTGTTGGCACCTTTCCCCGTGTTGTGAGCCTCATCAACTAGAATGTTCACCTGTTTTCCCAGCGCCTCATTATTTATCCCAAAAAGGCCACACTTCCGGGGGGTCTTGAAATAAATTGGCCCAGCTTGAAGAGGATCACTTGGAAAGTGAGTCTGCTGTGCGAAGTCAAAAGAAATGTGATTTTTTCCTTGAAAGGAACAGTATGGATGGGGTCCAGGTAGTCTGGCTGGCGGTAGTTGTGCCTTTACCATTTCACAGCTGTGTTGGTAAAATGACCGTTCATTCTGAACGATCTCCTGATGAGAGTTCAAATTGTCTATCAACCGTCTTTTCTCCTCATCAGACTTGTTGGCTGACAGCTGGATTTGCTGCATACCTCTCTGACAGGTCCAGCAGAGATCTGTTGCAGGAGGCATGGTCCTAATAAAAGGCACCAACTGTCTCCACAGCTTCCTGAAGGTTGAGATGTGAACACAGTGGTTCCCTGCTTCCTCAGATGATGTTTTATACAATTCGTATACCAGTGTCTTTGTACAATGTGTGGGCAGCAACTTAACATTCGTAATCCAGTGTCTGGGTGTTCTACCTGGCAGTTCTATGGCGTGGATCTCTGCGTAGTTTATTATGAAGTCAACTACCCTCCTGGTGTCCTCATACTTCAGGGTGTTATGGGGAAGTCGCTTCTTGCTCTTGTGGACACGGGCTTCAACACCACAGGCCTTGTAATGCTTGATCAGGGTTGTCAGTTTGCCAAGCCCAATGTCATGGATGTACAGGAAGAAATCACGGCAAATACGGTGTCCATGGAGCAAGTAATCCGTCCGTGACGCTTTCCGTTCTGTTTGAACTGCCTTTCGTGATTTGCGGGTAGTAGAATCCAAATGAATACCACACGAAATTTTTGACAAAACAGCTATGTCAAGTTCTTTGTCTGTTAAGGCAATGTACTGGTGTCTTATGTCCTGGATTGTTTCTGCATCAAAGTTTGAGTAACACGGTGTTGACTTACAGGAGCAGGGGTATGGGACAGGCCCTTTCGTTGACGTGGAAGGTGGGTCGATGTGCAAATTCGGTTGGTCCGGTGAAGGGGGTGCTGGTATGGCTGACAGATGGGTCTTTTGCGTTCAAGAGGCACGATCCTTTCTGACAGGTCTAGCTCAGTCGTCAGAACTTCACAGACCGAGTCATCTGGGGAAAAGCATTTACTTGTGTTAGCTCTAAGAACAGCTTATTTTGCAGTTGCAGTAGGAATGTAGGACAATCTTAACCACTCAACCAGAGTAAAGTTTACTTTAACTTATTATACTGGAAAAATTGATCTAATCTACCCTTGTAGGCCAATGTATGATGAATTAAAATGACAAAGCTTAACATTTAAAGGAAAAGATAATGCCAAATGGTTTATAGTCCACAGCACAATCTCAACCACTCAACCGAAGTTAAGTTTACTTGACTTTATTATTATTATTACTGGCACTGAGAAAACTGATCTAATCTACCCCTGTGGGCCAATGTATAAATTAAGATGACACAAGTTTAACATTTAAAGGAAAAGATAAAATCAAATGCTCTATAGATCTAGATCTAGAATGTAGCCAGCGTTTCTAATCAACAATTACAATACAAAAGGTGCACACATGTTTCAGAAATTCAGGGGTCTGGGACACAAGAAGAGTTTAAGTCTAGATCTAGATCTAGATTTAGCTTACTTTAGAATTTACCTACAAACTGAAGGTGGTCTAACAGAATCTATTACAGAACAGGAGGTCATCTTATATCTAAATCTATCTACATTTTGATATGTGGTCATGACTTATCATGATTATACAGTCAGGGTGAGAATGTAAACAAAGCATCATGTCGAAACAGAGAAAGACTGGGAAGAGCCTTTAAAAAACAATTTTAAACTACTTACCATCACTGGATTGCTCCTCATCAGTAGTTGAGTCATTTTCCGATTCCTGTCTGTCACCAAAATAAGCATCAAAGACTTCTTGGTAAGCTTCTGTATCTGTAGCGTTTAAATTCAACAGACGAGCTAGTGTCTCAACACTCTTTCCACTGGGACTCGCCATTTTGAAAGTGAGCGGGGTCTGGGCACGGGTCAGGGTTCAGATGCTGTTCTTTCAAATTATTACTCTTTATTTCGATAAAATAACAAACTATTGCCTCTTAACAGTTTTCCAGTAGTTTTTTTAGTTTAAGGGTGTATTTCAGGTAAGAATTGTGGCAATTATGGACACATATTGGTGCTTAAACTCGGCACTTGATTTTTACTACAAACATTCATAGTGGCGCACTAATCTGGATGCGCACTCCATGCTCCTTTGTTCAAGGTATGCGCACTACTTTTTATTCGCTAGTACACAGACTGAGCTTTCCAACGATGTATGATATGTAGGGGTTGTCTCAAAATACTTTTCGGAAAAGTCGGTCAAAAAGAGATGGATTTTCGGAGTCCTCTTCAGCACCATCAGCCGTGTTTGCTAATCATATCGGTTGGGGGTGATGCTGAAAACAATTAAAATTGACATATTTCCATCCCAAAGTATTGTTTAATATTTCTAGAGATGAAAGTTAAGATGTTGAATAACAAATTGGTGCAAAAATCTCAATTTTCATAGGAAAGCCCAAAATGACCTTTGAGACGGCCTAGCTCTAAAGTAAGCACAGCGACTTCCGAACGGTTTTCGCAGCTCGCCACACAAATGTCTATATTTCCGTGCGTGTTTACACAAATATCTAGATTTCCGTGCGTGTTTACACAAATGTCTACATTTCCGTGCGTGTGTCTGTATGTCCCTATGTGTTTATTCATGTTTCTGTACCTCGGTGTGTTTCCACATCTCGGTGCGTGTGTTTATCCATGTGTCTGTACCTCGGTGTATATCCACCTCTCGGTGCGTTTGTCTGTATGCCCATGTGTGTCTATCCATGTGTCTGTATATCTGTGTGTATTCACATCTTTGTGAGTGTGTTTATTCATGTATCTGTACCTCGGTGTGTATCCACCTCTCGGTGCGTGTGTCTGTATGCCCATGTGTGTCTATCCATGAGTCTGTATATCTGTGTGTATTCACATCTTTGTGAGTGTGTTTATTCATGTATCTGTACCTCGGTGTGTATCCACATCTCGGTGCGTGTGTTTATCCATGTGTGTACCTCGGTGTGTATCCACCTCTCGGTGTGTGTGTCTGTATGCCCATGTGTGTCTATCCATGTGTCTGTACCTCTGTGTGTATCCACATCTTTGTGCGTGTGTTCCCAGGTGGATGCCATCAATTTGTACCTGGAAGAAGAAGCGGAGCTGAAGAAAGCGTGCGAGGAGGAGAAAGTGACGTCCTACCAGTCCCCGCTCGGCATCGCTTTCATCACGCTGGCCTCCGACTCACAGGCTCAGAGGTGGGGGGGACCTCTGTTCAGGGAGAAAATTTTAGTTTTTGTTTGGTTTTAGTGAGAGTTTTAGAGCATTTACCACACAATTAGGTCATATAAGTGCCTCAGATTAGAGGTGTTACTTCAAAGTAACATACAAAGAAAGTAGTGAGGAGAGGTAATGATGATAGATGTTTGTATGTAGTATAGGGTTTTACGGCGCTCGCAACTGCTAAGGTCATTTGATTGGAAAGAAGGAGCATACCTCACCAGAGCGCCCATCTACCGCTACCTAACTCTAACATCCTTCTCTGATAGCACCAAGCCAAATGGGGACATTCAAGTAAAATGCCTTTCCCAAAGATACAACTTTTTTCATGCAACATTTAAACAAAATGATGAGAAATATGGTTGCTTTTAAGGACAAGCAAGCTAACCCAGATTTCGGGGGTTTCCAGAAATCTTGACCGACCCCAAAAGTGGGCATTGCCCTACCTATAGGAGAAGTTTGGTTTCATTGGTGTGTATATTTGTTTGGTTATAGAGATAATTCTCCTAGTCTTTTAAAAACACTGAACATAGGGGCAAAAACTTTACTTTCGATTTTCTCAAAGCAGCTTTTTTTCGGGATAGCCCCCTTGTGCTAAAAAGCAACCATATTATGATGACACATTTCTTGGATGATATCTCGTGTCTTGTGTGTTTGTTCCCAGGATCCGCACAGACTTCCGGGCCAGCTGTAAGGGCACCCACAACCCTCAGATGTCCAGTCTGTACCAGGAGCTGCAGGTCCAGAACTGGATCATGCACTTCGCTCCTTCTCCTGAGAACATTTACTGGTGAGTGAGTAGAAAACAGACAACATTTACTGGTGAGTGAGTAGAGAACAGAGAACATTTACTGGTGAGTGAGTAGAGAACAGAGAACATTTACTGGTGAGTGAGTAGAGAACAGAGAACATTTACTGGTGGGTGAGTGGAGAACATTTACTGGTGGGTGTGGCCAGGTATACATGCGTAGCTGCCAACAAGTATGGAATAAATACATTTAATACGTATTTGAAAGTGTGAGCCTTTTTTGCTGGGTATAAAGTAGACAAATATGTGTGAGAACCTTATCATCCGAACTATAATGTAAGTACAGTGGAACCTGCCATGATAGCCACCTGTACAAACAGCCACCTTTCCATCCCCCCCCCCCCCCCCCGCATTTTTTCTATGTAATTTCACTTCATTTTTTTTCATGTTTTCTTCGTTTTGGTCAATTGTGCCTAAGACAACAGGTCAGTCGACCACTTTTCTCCTCAACAATGGGTGGCCATCTTACACAGGTTCAGGTGGATCTATTGAGAGTTTTTTTTATCTTTCCCAGGGAGAATTTGTCCATCCCAGACTGGCGCTGGTGGACAACGGCTATCTGTGTCAACGGTATCTTGACCATCCTTCTGTTCTTCCTGACCACACCCATCATGTTCCTGCACACGCTGGACATGCTCAACATTGACATCCGGAAGGGAATGAGTGGCCTGCATGTGAGTGTTTAGAGGTCTACATGTGAGTGTTTAGTGGGAGGCAATGAGTGACCTACATGTGAGTGGTGTTATGATCCGGAGTGTTAATAATGATAGTAATAATATTAAAAAATAATAACAAAAATAATGCAGATAATTTCTAATGTTGCCCACTCCTATACCATACAGCTCTAGGCACTGTTCAATACCTTTGTCTTCACACGAAATAAATGTACATGAACATGCGTGCTCTTTTGATTAACAGATGAGCAGATATTCATTCAGATATCAGGACACAATTGATGAGGATATTCGCATCACATTATGAACTTAAGAACACTTTTGACATCACAGTGCTGTGCAGCAGTGTTTGTCATCCTAATAAATGATATGTAGCACTTGTATAGCGCATACCCCTGCTCAACATGTCTCGACCTCAGTGCTTTCTTGTCCTATCTCAAGTTTTTGAAACAGTGAAAATGTGACTTGTTCTTATATTCGCTCTTTGTTATGAACTGTTTTCACTGTTATTAAAAATGGAGATAGGACAAGAAAGCACAGGGGTCGCGATGTATTCACAGCAAGCTCTATTCACTATACAGTCTATATTATTATTAATAATAATAATAATAATGAAGATCATTCCTATAGCGCCCACTCCCGTTTAAACACAGCTTTAGGCGCTTTACATAAATGCATGTACAAACAATGTTCACGCACACTACACACACGCACAATACACACACTCATAAACACACACACAAACACACACACACATATACACATACACACACACACACATATACACATACACACACAATTATTAGATTATTACCCCAACACACCTTAGAACACTCGGAAACATTTTTGGCTTCCCAGGAAGCATACGGTGCCAGCAGCCAATTAATCAGTGAAACGCGAACTAACTGTCAAGATCTTTGTCTCATCCCCTGTTGTCGTCTTCCCCTCCCCCCCCCTCCCCCTCCCCCCCACAGAGCGCCTACCTGGTTCAGTTCCTGCCCACGCTGTTGCTGTGGATCGTCTCCGCCCTGCTCCCCAACTTTGTCTACTGGTCAGATCAGCTCATTGGACACTGGACAAAGTGAGTGACCAACGCTGATTGATGTGTGTATGTGTATGTGTGTGTGTGTGTGTATGTCTACTGGTCAGATCAGCTCATTGGACACTGGACGAAGTGTGTGACCAACGATGATTGATGTGTGTATGTGTATGTGTGTGTGTATGTCTACTGGTCAGATCAGCTCATTGGACACTGGACAAATGAGTGACCAATGCTGATTGATGTGTGTATGTGTATGTGTGTGTGTGTGTGTATGTCTACTGGTCAGATCAGCTCATTGGACAGTGGACAAAGTGAGTGACCAACGCTGATTGATGTGTGTATGTGTATGTGTGTGTGTGTGTGTATGTCTACTGGTCAGATCAGCTCATTGGACACTGGACAAATGAGTGACCAATGCTGATTGATGTGTGTATGTGTATGTGTGTGTGTGTGTGTATGTCTACTGGTCAGATCAGCTCATTGGACAGTGGACAAAGTGAGTGACCAACGCTGATTGATGTGTGTATGTGTATGTGTGTGTGTGTGTGTATGTCTA